TTATTTCGCCGACGGCGTTCTATTTCCATCAGCTAAATTATGCGTCAATAGATTATTTCACTGCGCGCAAAACTAGTTATTTGGCGAGATTTATGGGCAGATGTCACTAAAGGAACGAATCTCACAGTCTGTCTATTTATTTGAAGGACCAGAGAGCCACTGGGATAATTCACTACGCATCAGAAGTTTAAATCATTTACAGGCGTTAGAGATGACACTTTTAACTCTTAAAGTAAGTCTTTTACACACAACATGAACGATAGAAGGCCTAGGATTGACCTGTGGGATATTACCGGGAACATACTATTGGAAGAAAAGACTGAAACCCACACGAATGCTGATCTTCTGTTAAAAATGCAAAAAATGCCTAGTAAAACTTTTCCAGAGGTACTGTAGTACTCTCTGTACAGAAGACGACTGCAGGACGGTATCAGAAGCTTTTGCAAATTCAATAAATCTTACTTACACAGTTTGTCTCCGATTGACTTCCTCGGCCCGACATTATCGAGCAATCCGAACTCGCTTGAGTGGCTTTTAAGAACATCCCTTACAAGCTTCTCCGATAGCCTGACCTGCACGCTTGTCGTTACCCTGCTTATATTTCCCGGGTAGATATCTATCGGAGCGTACGATAGCTTTATTTTCAAACAAATGAGCAGCCGGATAACAGCACTCATTCGCTAACTCATACACAGTTCTCTCGGTCACTGACATGCCTTCGTTTCTGTTTTTTATTTTATTCTTCTGTTTTCTTTACGGCGCTGTGGATCTATCCTCCTTTATGTGTTTGTCTTAGCTCTCCATTCTCTTTAGGTTTGGTTGCTTTCCGCCATTTGCAAATTATTAGTTAGATGCCTTCTCCGTTGACCAACGTGAGTAAGCACTTGTCTTGTAATCCGAAGGTCACCGGTTCGAGTCCGCGTAAGTGCGAGCGACTTTGCCTTATACCCATCATCATCATCATACACGTTAGCTAAAGGTAAGAAACACCTCAGCTACTGTGCCGCAATACACAGAAAAAAGGAGAAAAATGCAACTGGTGCAAGCCGGCTGCGCTACCAGTAACGGATAGGCATCGTTCCGTTAAGCTACCAGCCGCCTACTGTGCATCAAAAAAATTACTATGCAAACTTATATAAGGCTAAATAATGAGGTCGTGCTTGGAGGGGGAAGCTAAGAGGGATGGGGCGAGACAAAGAAACTCACAGCACGAACGCCACTGAGGTCGGCTCCTAGCCATATCAGCAAGTGTGTCCAACCAAACGTGTTCATCGTCTTTCGGACCCCAACCAGGGAGCCGAGACGCTCCAACCGAAGCCAGCTCAGAAGTGAGGGCCTTCATTCCTCTCGACCAACTCTTCGCTTGGCCACCCCTCCTCTTCTTCCATCCACACCCACGGCGCGCAAACAAGGCACGTCGCAGGAGTCGGTGGGCTGGCATACGTAACACGTGGCCGAGCCATCGGAGCCTGGTGCGTGAAATGACGGTGCTGAGCGGTTCATTTCCCTTTCCTGTGCCGTAAACAAGGCGTCGCTCGTTGCTCACGCGGTGTTCCCACCAGACGTGAGCTAAATTACGATGGCACCGGTGGTCGAGCATAACTAGCCTCTTCAGGTCCGCTGCTTTAAGCGGCCGGGTTTCACAACCGTACAGTAGGGTCGAACGTACTGCTGCATTGTACGCTCTACCCTTCAGGGCAAGAGTGATGTCGCGCCGGCGCCATAAGTTGCGAAGGTTAGCAAAAACGCTCCGTGCTTTTGCTATACGGTTCGTGATCTCATCATCAATCCCACGGGCGCTGATCCAACTTTCTAGGTAGTTGAGTATTTGAACGACTTCTAGCTGATCTCCACCAACGGTCAGCGTAGGAGGCGGTTCAGACCAATCTTGGAGGAACGCTTTGCACTTCGAGGGTGCGAAGCAAGGCCCGAAGTGACGGACAGCTAGTGCTAATCTGTCCAGGGCCGCTTGACACGTTTGTGAGCTGTCACAGATTAGGGCAATATCATCAGCATACTCCAAGTCAAGAAGTCGTTCTTCTGGGAGCAGATCCACACCTTCAAAGTCGTGTCCTGTGAACGCGATTTCCATGACTTCGTCAACAGCGAAGTTGAAGAGGAAAGGTGACAGCTGGCATCCTTGTCTCACGCCGCTGGAGATATTAAAGGGCGACGACAACTTGCCGTAAGCCCTCACTCTGCCCGAGCTATACGCATATAATGCTCGGATAATATTCACATATTTCTCAGATCCACCTTTCCTGAGTAGACAGTCCCAAAGTGCATGTCTATCCACCGAATCGAATGCACCTTTGATATCGAGGAATACGACAACGGTGGAGCGCCAATATATGTGACGGTGCTCCAACAACTGACGCAAAGTGAAGATGTGGTCAGTGCAGCCACGACCTCGACGAAATCCAGCTTACTCTACACGAAGCGCTTTCACGAGTGCCAGTCAGTCTGTGAAGGGTGACAGAGGCAAGCAATTTGGAGGCGATGGAGATCAGACTGATTCCTCTATGGCTGCCGCATTCCGATCGTGAGCCTCCCTTGAAAATTGGGACTATGGCGGAGCGGCTGCAATCGTTTGGGACAGTTTCCTGCTCCCACACTTCGACTAGTAACTCGTGTAAATCATCCATAAGAGCAGGTCCCCCGAATTTGAAGAGGGCTGAAGGAAGATCATCAGGTTCCGCGGCTTTATTTAACTTCAACAGTTCGATCTCACGTTCTACTTCTGAGCGAGAGGGTGGATCCGGAGGGACAGCCCAGGGAGCGTGGCGATCAATGGTCCGGAAGAAATCTAACAAATCCGACCGATTAAATTGCCTTTCAAAGTGCTCAGCCCAACGCTCTAAGCGTTTTGATAAGTTGTGGATAGGTTGTCCACTTTCGTCACGTATAGTTTCACTAACACCAGGTCTCCTGCTGCCCGTTTCCCGTATCAGACGGAATGACTTAGGATGGTTACCAAGGGCAGCGTCCATTTACATCTCTGATGCGCGATCAGACCACCAGGATTCGCGGTCTGTCTCCAGGCTAGCACTGAGTTTTGCCCGGAGCTCTTTGCGAGTTTCATTGTGTTCGCTTCCAGCCTGAATACGCCGGTGAGCATCTATAAGTTCCAGAGACTGTGAAGTGACCCAATAACCATGTTGGCTATTAGACATACCACGTAAGGATTTTCCTGCTGCTAGTATGATCTGGTGAATATGAGACCAGGGAGCTTAATTCGCATCCAGTGAGCGTTTATCCAACTCGCAAGACAGCGTACTTCGATACGCATTCAGAACAGCTGGCTTTGTCAGTTGGCTGGTGTAAATGCGCTCACAACGTCGTCGTGGGCGTCCGCCAAAACGCATCTGCATGTCAGCACATACAAGTGCATGATCGGTGTCCACACATGTGATCCAAATCGACCGACAGTTCTGGATGCAGCCACTCCATCGGTAACTGATAGCAATGTGATCGATTTGCGTCCATAGCTGGTTCGTGGCCGGTGGGCGCCAAGTCCCCCTCTGGCGGGTGCTGTGTCTGAAATTAGTGTTCGCAAGAAATAAGCGAGCATCCTCACACAAATGAAGTAACCGCTCACCGTTGTCATTACGGGAGCCTACACCATGGTGTCCGCTTAGATGCAGCTCATCTGTGGATAATTTTCCAACTTGAGCGTTCAGATCCCCAGCCAGCACTACAGTGTCCGTGCTTCTTCTGTGGCGAAGGAGCTCGTTCAGTTGACGATAGAAGTCGTCTTTTACCGAGTCGTCGCCACAGTTTGTCGGTGCATACTCAGCGATGACATTTGTTAGTCCCACGTGACCTTGAAGTTTTGAACGAGCCAGCCAATCGGACCACACACATCCGGCTATTGATTGGAATCCAGTCAACCAGAGTAGCTTCAGCCCGGGGACTCAGAGCAATGCCAACACCACCTTGGCCGGTGCTCGAACCTACATTGTCACCGGATAGGCGCAATGAGAAAGTGCTGCTAGCGTCACCTGAAGGGGATCGCTGAGTGAGCACAGAGCTCGAATCTTGCAGGCGGATCTCCGATAAGCAGCAGATATCAATCGAGAGGGTCTCTAATGTTCGGGCAAGTGCTGCCTGTTGACCGATCTGAAGCAATGTGCGAACATTGAGGCATGCCAATCTGAAGCGGGATCGAGGGCTCCAAATGGATGCCGATGAACTGGAATGGGCCTGTTTACAGGGCAGGAATGACGCTCTGCGTTCACATGAGAGTTTGAAGTGAAAGGCAAGGGACTATTGAAGTAAGGTAAGGGAGGGCCGAGAATTCGGGGGTTGAAAACAAGGAGGATAAAAGTGAAGCTGGAACGGGACGATAAGGGTGAAAAAGCGCAAGAGAGGGAATAAGAAGACGGAAGGCTTGAGCAGTAGCATCCAAACCCCTATCCACCCTGCCCGATGCAGCAGGTAGGGCACCGTTGATTATCCTCTGCGGTGGCCAGAGCATCAGAAATTTGTTTGGGGAAGGATTCATTGTATTGCGTGGGCAGGATACTGTCAGGTTTACCCAGGTCTAGACAGGAAAACGATTAGGGTTATCAACCAGAGCCTTTGGTTCAAAAACCTGTCCGCAAGGCATCGGGTTTGGCGCTGGGCTACAAGGAGTCCGTTTTAAGGAGTAAGGTGCCACCCTCATTCCAACCCCCAACCTGGAGGACCAGGAGGCTGGGTTTGTCTGGCCTCTAACCATTGACCAATCTGGTATGAGTGACTCTGAATGTGCAAAAGCACCACCCAGCATAGCTCAATGGATCACTGAGGCACACAAACTATCGCACCACGGTAAGATCCAGCCTCATTGCGATGGTACCTTATGCCCAGCTTATGTGCGATCGTTAGTGGTCGCATGCAGCGACGCGTCGGTACGATGTACCGGCGTACTGTTAGTGCCTCTTCCGTCTAGATCGATCTCATATTTAATGTTGACTGCACCGGTACTCAACTGCTTACGATGTTTCTTTTGTATTCCAGTTTATCACCATCTACTTTGCTCACTAGACAAGTACGAACTCGGAATACCCTCTCTCCTGCGCGTTATATCTACATTACCGAAATGACAAACGAAACCGGTGTCCACGTTATCAGTCCTTTCAAGAGTTTTGTGGCCGGTGGATTTGGTGGCATTTGCTGCGTAGCTACAGGACATCCATTGGACACTATCAAGGTAAGTCTCAGACTGGCTTTTCACCCCATGTAGGTTCGTTTGCAAACAATGCCCCATCCATCTTCAGGAGGTGCTCCTTTGTACACTGGTACTCTTGACTGCGCTCAAAAGACCATCAAAACAGAGGGTTTTTTTGGTTTATATAAGGGCATGGGCGCTCCTATCGTCGGCGTTTCTCCCATTTTTGCACTGTGTTTTTTTGGTTACAATTGGGGAAAGAAATTGATTGCTGCTGATCCAACGCATCTCAAGTAGTTATCTCAGTTCTTAATCAACGACACAGGAAGCATGAAATTCTACTCGCGGGCATGTTTTCTGGAGTTTTTACAACTACGATCATGGCCCCTGGGGAACGCATCAAGTGCCTACTGCAGGTGAGTAACTCTTCTGACGTTCACTTTTAAAGGCTCTTGGGATCTCTACGATGTTTATATTCCTTTTTTGATTTGTTCACATTCCCATGGTCGTTTCACCAACTTTCTACCACAGCTCGGCACAGTGTTTAGCCTGATCCATCTTATGTGCACGTGCTTTTCGTTGAAATTCTAGGAAAATGTGCTTTCTCGCGTACTTTATACTTACATATGTATTGTACAAAATAGCCGGAGCATCAATCCTGCATCTAGCTGCCCCATACCGCTTGGATCTATCTTGATTCATTCTCTGTAGGGAACCGTTAAATAAGAATACTAAATCAGCTAACGAATTCCATTCGGATTCGATTCATTATCGGACGAAAGCAGAGGGCAAAGTATGCCTCCAAGGGATATGCTCGTATAATCCGACAGCGGATAAGGCAGACAGCCGAGCGCAAATTCACAAAGGCGAGGCTAAAGTTAACATGGTGCGATGATTTGTGTGCCTCTGTGACTCATTGTGCTACGCTGAGTGGCATTTTCCAAGTGACTTCAAAGCCACTCATACCAGACAGGTCAATGGTTAGGGGAAAGACTATTTCAATCTCACAATCCATTCCTCTTCGGAGGATAGGGAGAGGTCGATGGATCTGTTCCCTTAAACCTAGCAATGAGACGACACGTTTACGGGTTATAAGCTCACAGCACAATTGGCGTAGAGCACGAGCGCCACGCATTGTCTCTGACGGTGGGAGGGTACCTTCCGGTGCTCAATTGTTTGCTGCCGCCCGCACAAACCAGGTAGCCTCCGGTCACATTGTTGCAAACCCGCCAGTTCCCACCTGCGGTTGGTCGTGGTCGCAGGTGCGTAAGCGTAATACGGTCGTAAAACACACGTGAATTGTTCCAACTCTTCAAATGCTGTGTGTGACAGGCCTCAAGCAGATCCCAGTGGGTCTCCACAGTCACACTCCCTAGCTGTACTTGCTCCTTACTGCCTTGTGGGTCAGGCTATCGAGCCAAAGGCATCGGCTTGAGTCCCTTAAGCACAACTCCGTGTACCCCATTGCCTTATAGGTCAGTTTAGTCAAAGACTAGAGATAAGCCACCTGAAACAAAACTCGTCTGTCGCAATGGTCGACCAGAGAGTCTCATCTGCCCTCTCGACGGCGTCGACACTACTCCCTCTCCTTTCTCTTTTTTCCCTCCTCTTTTAACATCCTTCTTCCTCGTCTATTGAGCTACAGACTGCTGCTAACCTCGCAGCTTAGGTCATAGATACATCTAACTCTTGCATCTAACTTAGGTTCTCATTTCACATTGGTTTTTTTGGCCTCCGTACTCTGGGTCTGATCGATGAACAAGCAGCACTCTCACTCTTCACTGTCTTGGTATTGATGTGTGCTGTGTCTCCGAAACCCGCACACAAGATACAAGCATTGTGAGGAATCTTTGACTTTCTGGCCACATTCTTTCATGTCTCTGACGATACCGAATCAGTGGCTCAAGATATTTACAGTGTTGGTATCGCCTACAGCAAGCTTGCTGAAAGCAATCTGCTCGACTGGATGCCGGCGAACAGCCGCATACGTGCGGTTCGACTTTGAACCCCTACTGATGTCAATAAGCACTGCTTACAGAGAAGGTGCCTTTTCATCGCCACCGTTTATGTTCCTACTGACTGGAGTTCGGAGGGTATCAAAGACGATTTTTATCGTGAACTCACATCTCTTCTTCACACGGCGAAGAATACTGGCATTGTAATTGTTATTTGTGTTACGAATTCCCAAGTAGATCCTCTTTCAGACTGAACAACACCTAGGAGGCCGCTTCCGGATCGATGCACGCCGAATAGACAATGTTGATCGGTTCCGGCAGCTGTACGCCAACCACAACCTTTAAATTAACAGCACTGCTTTCCAGCACTCCTTCACATCACGCCACCTGGCGTTCAGCAAATTCTACGATGACCTGCACCCAAATTGACCATATTGCTATCAGTCACAGATGGCGCACATCAGTGCAAGACTGTCGTGTTCATTTGGAACAGGTGCCAGTATTCCGACCACGCTCTAGTGCGCGCACGCCTGGCGCCTACTCTTCCCGCTTCAAGGAAACTTCTAACCTTCTTACCTGCAACTTGAACTCGCGGTTTGCAGTTTAACAGTGACATGAACTGACCCAGCAGTTCGTCTGGGAGCTGTGATAGCTCACAGACGTGCCAAGTTGCACTACACAGATTAGCACTCGCTGTCAGCCGCTTCGCGCTTCGTTTTACACCATTGAAGTGCAAAGCTTTCCTCCAAGATTGGCAGGGATCGCATTCTGCGCTGACCCTTGGTGGCGATCAGTTAGAAGTAGTTCAGAAATCCAACTATCTGGGAAGTTGTATCAGCGCCCTGGGGAACGAAGACGAGGTCACGAACCGTATAGCGAAAGCCCGAACTGCTTTTGCTAGTCTTCGTCACCTATGGCGGCGGCACGACATCATTCTCGTCCTGAAGGGCAGAGTGTACAATGCAGCGGTACGCTCGACCTTACTTTACGGTTGCGAAACCTGGCCCCTAAGATCGGCGGACATAAAGAGGCTAGTTACGTTCGACTATCGGTGCCTTCGCAGTTTGGCTCACATCTGGTGGGAACACCGCGTGAGCAACGAGCACGTTTGACGCCTTGTTTATGGAAAAGGAACTGAACCGCTCAGCACCGTCATTTTACGCACCATGCTCCGATGTCTCGGCCACGTGTTGCGCATGCCAGCCCACCGACTCCCGCGACGTGCGTTGTTTTCGCACCGGGGATGTGGATGGATGAAGGAGAGAGGTGACCTAGCAATGACTTGGTCGAGAGAAATGAAGGCCCTCACTTCGGAGTTGGCCTCGGTTGGAGCTTCACGGCTCCCTGGTTGGGGTGCAAAATACGATGAACACGTTTGGCTGGATAGACCTGTTGACCTGGCTAGGAGCCGACCTCAGGGGCGTTCGTGCCGTGAGCATCCTTGTGCCACTCATCCTATTAGCCTCCACATTCAACCACAATCTTACTGCTTAGCCTTAAATAATTTTACATAGTAGTTTTTTTCTGCCTAGTAGCCAGCTGGTAGCTTACCGGAACGATGCCCAACCGTTGCTGATGCTTTGGCCACCGCAGAGGATAATCAACGGTGCCCTATCTGCTGCATCGAGCAGGGTAGATAGGGGTTTGGATGCTACTGCTCAAGCCTTCCGTCTTCTTATTCCCCCTCACGCTTTCTCACTCTTACCGTCCCGTTCCAGCTTCACTTTTATCCCCCAATTTTCAACCCCCGATTCTTGGCCCTCTAACATGCTTTGCTAGTCGTTTATCTTCTACTTTCAACTCACATATGAACGCGGAGCGTCATTCCTGTCCTGTCGACAAGCCCATGTCCAACCAAGCGGTCCATTCCAGTTCATCAGCTTCCATTTGGAGCCCTCGATCCCGCTTCAGATTGGCATGCCTCAGTGTTCGCACATTTGCTTCAGGTCGGTCAACAGGCAGCACTTGCCCGAACATTAGAGACCCTCTCGATTGATATCTGCTGCTTATCGGAGACCCGCCTGCAAGACTCGAGCTCTGTGCTCACTCAGCGATCCCCTTCAGGTGACGCTAGCAGCACTTTCTCATTGCGCCTATCCGGTGACGATGCAGCTTCGAGCACCGGCCAAACCGGGTTGTTATTGCCCTGAGTCCCCGGGCTGAAGCTGCCCTGGTTGATTGGATCCCAGTCAGTTGCCGAATGTGTGCGGTCCGATTGGCTGGCTCGTTTAAAGCTTCGAAGTCACGCGGGACTAATAGGTGTCTATTCATCATCCTGCCTACGCGCCCACGGACTGTAACGATGATTCGGTAAAAGACGACTTCTATCGTCAACTGAACGAGCTCCTTCGCCACAGAAGAAGCACGGACACTGTTGCGCTGGGGGTGGGATCTGAACTCACAACTTGGAAAGTTGTCCACTGATGAACTTCATCTGGGCGGTCAACACGGTGTAGGCTCGCGTAATGATAACGATGAGCGATTACTTCATTTGTGTGAGGATGCTGTCTTATTTCTGGCGAGCACTAATTTCTGAAACAGCACCCTTGGCGCCCACCGGCCACGAACCAGCTATGGACGCAAATCGATCACATTGCTATCAGTTACCGATGGAGTGGCTGCATCCAGAACTGTCGGTCGATTTGGATCACATGTGTGGACACCGATCATGCACTTGTATGTGCTGACATGCAGATGCGTTTTGGCGGACACCCACGACGACGTTGTGAGCGCATTTACACCAGCCAACTGACAAAGCCAGCTGTTCTGAATGCGTATCGAAGTACGTTGATACGCGAGTTGAGTAAGCGCTCACTGGAGTCAATTGGTGATCACTGGTCACAAGTTCACCAGACCTTACTAGCATCAGGCAAATCCTCATGTGGTATGTCTAATAGCCAACATGGATATTGGGTCTCTTCACAGTCTCTGGAACTTATCGACGCTCGCCGGCATATTCTGGCTGGAAGTGAACACAATGAAACTCGCAAAGAGCTCCGGGCAGGACTCCGTGCTAGCTTGAAGAGAGACCGCGAATCTTGGTGGTCTCATCGTGCGTCGGAGATGGAAGTGGCCGCTGCCTTTGGCAACCATCGTAAGTTATTCCGTCTGATACGGGAAACGGGCAGCAGGAGACCTGGTGTTGGTGAAACTATACGTGAAGAGAGTAGACAGCCTATCCACAATTTGTCAAAACGTTTGGAGCGTTGGGCTGAGCATTTTGAAAAGCAATTTAATTGGCCAGAATTGTTTGATTCTTCCCCAGCCAGTGATGGCCCTGCTCCGTAGGCTGTCCTTGTGCATCAACCCACTCAGAAGTCGAACGTGAGATCGGACTGTTGAAGCTTTTCTCTCTCTTGATGCTTTCCATGAATTACTAGTGAAACTGTGGGAGCAGGAAACTGTCCGAACCGATTGGAGCCGCTCTGTTATTGTTCCCATGTTCAAAGGAGGCTCGCGTT